TCCGGCCTGACCAAACTCAGTCAAGAGGCTTTTTATTCTACAAGCACTAATTGTTGAAAATTTTGTTTCAACCTAAAAGGGCACAATGGACAGGAACACAGGAGAACCTAAAAAGGATTCTACAAATATGAAAACTTTTCCTTTGTTTTTTCAAATCAGAAAAAGAAACTTTTCCTTTAAGTTTTTTCAACAAAGATGTGTGAGTGCTGGGCCACAAGGCTTTACCCAGACAGGGTCAGGTCAACCTGTTAGCTACGCTTGTCAGCTTTCACTGTGGTTTTCTATGGATATGTTAATCATTATTTTTGAACTTATGGATGATAATTTCCTTTCTTTAAACGTAATTTTAAGCGCTTGAAGAAGATGCCCCCACAGTTCCCAGAGCATGCTACAGCAAGGTACTTTGATTTTATTTGTTATATAATTAATGAACTCCATCTTACATAGTTATTTGTACTTGGTATGTTACAAAATTAATGCAAGCCCTTGCTCATTAAGGGAAGGTGTTATTAATTAAGGGGCAATTTCTTTTTTTTTTAAGAAATTATCTGGAGTGGATGGTTGACCTCCCATGGAGCAAAGAAACTACCGACAAGTTAGACATATCCCAAGCAAGGTAACAGTGAGTGGAAATTACAGCAAGTTTTTAGTTGCTTTTCTTAAGAATGCTTTGCTTCACATCTCTTGTGGTGATTGGTACAGCAAACTCACACCACTTGTTGGAAGAAAATGTTTGTTCTAACAGCTTTAATGTTGTTTGTAATGCCATTTTAGAGCGGATCTGGATCATGACCATTATGGCTTGGAGAAACTGAAGAAGAGAGTCATTGAGTATCTGGCTGTTCGAAAATTGAAAAACAGTTTGAAAGGTAAAGCTGCATTTTGAAAATGTACAGAACACCTCAGTCTATGTTTATCTTTGGTCAACTCCTCTCTCTCCCCATAATTTTTCTTCCTATAATAGGTCAGTTGGTCATTTGGCCAGCAGTCAGTTGCCAGGCTATTTGTAATTTTATTCAATGAGTTTATGGGTGCTTACATTTACTAACATCGTCTTGTATGTGTAGGTCCTATTTTATGCTTTGTTGGTCCCCCTGGGGTTGGAAAGACAAGTGTTGGAAGATCTATTGCAAACACTCTTGGCAGAGAATTTCAGAGGTACAACAAGTATTAAATAAATTAGATTAGAGTAGTTGTATTTTTCCTTGCTGGTTAAGTTTTTATTAAAAAAAAAAAAACAATTAATTCTATATTAATATTTCGAAACACTGTGTAATGTTCAAGAAAATAGGGCTTAATAAGGGTGGATTAGTAACATGTAATAGTTCCAGGTACAGGTAATCACATGCATATAACTTGTACAGTGCCGGAAATATTTTTCTTTCCAGTATTTTTCAACTGATGGAACAATTGTAGGAAAACTCATGGTCATGAATAATTATTCTCCATCAATTTCTTTTTTTGTGTGTGTTAGTTCTGTTGGTATGATGTTTCCTGAAACTGTACTTGTTTACTAATGATACTTCTTTAATTATTATTTTCCAGAATATCACTTGGTGGAATTTGTGACCAGTCAGATATCAGAGGACATCGGTAAGATTTTATCATCTTGGAGGATAGCCTTTTTTCAGAATTCTTTTTTTTCACTAGGGCAGTGCTTTGATGGTATCAAATTCTTGCAGAAATTATTTCTTATACAGACATGGATCCACCCAGATATTCTACAACATACATGTAATCTCCATACCATGGGATTAGGTGTGCTTCTGTTATTTACACCTTTGACACCCTAGCATCAGTATGGATGTTTGCCATACTGTTCTTTATACATTGCTCATGGTGGTGACCAGGAGCATCTGTTTCTCATTAAAAGCTTCTTTGGTTGGTAATCAATTCCTTTATTCTACTGGGCCCAGTTTTTTGAAAGCCGGTTAGCGCCAACCCAGGGTTAAATTTTAAACTGGGTTTCTATACTTCTTTGTTCAATAGCCTTTTTGGGATCATTTCCTCTACTCTATATGGAGCATCCAATCATCAAACTGTTGACAAAAAGAATTCTACTTAATTTTCCTTAAAAGCTTCCAGAGCTGAAATCCGATTTCACACTAACCCTGGGTTATCTAAACCCAGCTTTGAACAACCCAGCCCTGACCCTATTGTTTGATTTAGCATTTTTTAACTGTAAGGAGAAATTACAGATGCTTGGCTCTAAGAGGAAACAGGGGCAAGTATGATGCAATCCTAGGCTCAATAGCTGACTTTTTCTGTCTAAGGAGGTTATCATGTAACCACTGTGACTCATCTTTGAGTGCATACATGTATGTGTTTTTATAGGCGAACATACATAGGATCAATGCCTGGAAGGATCTTAAATGCCTTGAAAATGGTTGGAGCAAAGAATCCCGTTATCTTGTTGGATGAAGTGGACAAGATGGTATTGATAAACTTGATTTCATTGGATGTAATTTAAGTTGCGCCAAACTTTCCTTCCTTTCTCTCACTCTTTTCAACCTTCTTGCTTCTATCTTTTCTCAATTTGCCTGAGATTGATATCTTTAAAAGCCCTGGACCAGAAAAAGAGACTCCTTTGATTAATTGTTTACCTTTTCACAGGGCAAGAGTCTCCATGGTGACCCCGCTGCTGCCCTATTGGAAGTGTTGGACCCTGAACAGAATTGGACATTTGTAGACCAGTATCTTTTTTGATCAAGTCTTTCATTTAATACCATTTGACATATACCATGGGTTTGATGATTGTTTGTTACAGTTAACCCTCCCCTCCCTCATATTTAATTTAGGTTGAACCATTTGCATGACAATTTACTTGCACTCATTTACTACTCTCAGGTTGAGGTGAAAACTGTTCATTCTTGCCGTAGATGAACAATCTAAATGAAAACAATTAAATTATATGCAGATAATTACTCAGACAAAAATTTCAAGTGAGCTCATGGAATAGATGGGTTGATCATGTGGCAAAGAGCTAGAGGGAGGGAATAAAGAGAGTTCAAAGAGGAGACAAGGATGGAAGGGGAGGGTGGGCAGGTAAAAAGATTAATCCTTAATAAGTGCTTTGTTCATGAACCTTTCATTGAGTGTCTTTTTTTTTACTTTACAAATGTATTTTGGCTTATTGTGTCCTTAACACAGACTTCTATGTAGCTACCTCAATATTCCATTTGATCTTTCACAAGTGAGTATTGTCTGAGCTTTTGAAATTGATATATCGTTTTTCTAATTTTCCTCTTATCTGCCTTTGTTTACTTATTTGCCCATTTTGGTTTCTATTAACCTACAGGTTCTGTTTATAGCCACTGCAAATACTGTCAGCACCATACCTCCTGCTTTGCTTGATCGAATGGAGGTGAGAGATGTTTAATTGTAAATGAGAAGGACGAGGCAGTCAAACCCCCGCTGTTTTCTCGTAATATGTTATTATTATAAACAAGTGTGGTGTACTATTTAGCCACCATACCTTCCCCCTTTGTCATCCTGTTTCCAGGTAGGGGGGTTGGAAAGGGTGGGATGGGGGGTGAAAATGAAGGGACAGGGAGGAGAGGGCAGAGGGGATGACATAATGTAGCCCACGAGAGGTCGTTATAATTATGTGACAACAAGTTTGTCTTGCTGTATGACTTAATTGGATTTTTTAACTGTTTTTTTTTTCTTCTTTAAATTTCAGTTGATCATGGTTCCAGGTTACACTCAGGAAGAGAAGATCGCTATTACTAAGCGGCATCTTTTGCCAAAACAGCTGAAGGTTCGGAAATTGTTTTAAAAAGACAATTTTTAACCGCTAGGGTTACAGAATAATAAAGAAGTAACAAATTTTTGTTTCTTTTTTTCTTATTTAGGAACATGGACTTGCTGAACGAGACATGGAATTTCCTGAGGATTCTATGAAGGCAATAAGTAAGTAAAATAACTTATTGGCGGGTGGGCGCTTATCAACTTTTCCTACTCACAGGGGGCCCTTTTCGAGGTGGGAGGTGGCTGCTCTTTCGAGGTTAAGCGCTCAACCCTTTAACTCCCAGGATCTGATTGTTAATTCTCCCTTCTATTTGCTATACATTTCCTTGTAAACTAGTTACGAGAATTTGGTGTTAAATCAAGACGACAACTTCTGCCTGATAAATCTGAGTATTCTCATTACCTTTTTGCTGGATAATTTATGAATATTATAGGGAGAAGTTACGTGTTAATCATTCCTGGGAGTTAAAGGGTTGATTTAATAAGTACGTTAATCAGCTTTCACGACCTAAACTGGTAGCGTTCGATTGGCATCCAACTACACACTCGATGCTGAATTCTGCTTAGGTTGTGGTAACGTCAGTCTTTTTTAACGACGTTAGTCGTTGTCCGAATTAACTACGGATGATCTCATTTCACCTCGGAATCTCTCTCATATTCGTTACCAATGCTAGGATTTGTTTCATTGATGGCTGTTTACATTTTTCTCTTCTTTAGAAGTGCTATTGACTCAGTTTTCGGTGATCTTTTTTCAGTCTCTAATTACACGCGGGAAGCTGGAGTGAGGTCACTGGAGCGCAAGATTGGTGGTGTGTGTCGGGCTGTGGCCGTGCAGGTATGGATTTGAAGAGTAGCTCTTCTAGTAACCAGCGGTAACAGGTAACAATGTAACCAGCGCCGGACTGAGAAAGTTAGAAATGCGATCGTGGGGAAGACACACGCAAGGGTGGTGACGCCTGAGGCATGAACGAGGGAAGGGGGAGAGAGGGCTTCTTTAATCTTTTTCAAGAATCTTAAGCGTTCAACCCGTGTCATGTCGCATTGTAACACGATCAATATTTATTTGGGAGTTTTTGTTTATTTCGCTAAAATATTCATATTGAGGTTGTAGCAGTTCCTTTACTATAAACACTGACTTATTTATTAGAAGACATCGTAAAATACTGCGAAGTCGTTCCTAACCGGTCTTACACTCAGAAAAGTGATCAACAGGCAGCCTTGTCAGTATTAAATTATTGCATTGAAAAGCAATCAGAGGATAAGGATTGAAAAAGCTCAAGGAAGTTGAATGAGTGGAACACAAATTCTGCAAACTAACACATGATTAAACGCAAGACGCTGACCAAGGAGAATATAACTTAATCTCTGGTAGCGAAAGGATTCAAAAGAGTCACGGTAGAAGGGCAGTATTGGCTAATTACTGTTGTGACTTTTTAAATTTTTGCGTGCTTTGTTATCACTCCTGTAGGTAGCTGAAGCAACGAGAGGTGCTTCAGGGCAAGCTGAAGAAAGTAGCGGACAAGAATCCAAAGAAGGGGAAGCCGAAAAACCCAAGAGCGAAACTGATAAACCCGCTGACCGAGAGGCGTTTTTGATCACTGAGAAATTCTTGACTGAAGCATTAGGGGTAAGATACTCAGTAAATGTGTCACTCCTGGCACTCAGGGAAATTGTTTTTTCTCTCAAGGAATTTATTCTCAGTGGTTGAGGATGTTTATTTTTCTTTTTTTTCACTGACGTTTGCAAGTTGGTTTTTATTTTTTTTTTAGCCTCCTGTATTTGAATCTGAAGTGGCTCAAAGGCTGTCAACTCCAGGCGTGGCAGTAGGTGAGTCAAATTTAAGACAAGATCCATCAAAGAGACTGAATCTTCACAGTTTTATTTAGGATTGCAGGAGAGTGGACTCCAGAGAATAGAGCAATTTTAATTGAGTGTCGAAAATAATTCGGGATTGTATTGATTTTGCTTTGCTTTGCGATTGGTCTGGAAAACTCGCTTACCAAATCAGAGGCAAACCTTAAACCAACCGCGACTTGGTCATTCGCGTTTTCCCGCGCTTCAAGCACCTCGCCTGTTTTACTTTCACTTCATATAGGCTTAAGGCTTGGAATGATGCTAACCTTTGCCCTGATTGGCTGTTTTGAATACTTAAATCGAAGTACGTAATAATGTCGCGACTACTTTTCGCGTTTCTGGTGTGTTTCGTTAAGAACGAGCTGACCTGAAATTTGCAATTCTCGTGTCTTTGGTCGAGTACATATCCTTAGTTCTCTGAATGCGCATGATTCTTTCCCCCCACCCCTCCCCTGCAGACATCCTCTCGATGTCAGGCTTGCTAAAAGCTCAGTTCTGATGTGCGGATAATACTGGAGACTGAAATACCATTTTGAAGACAGTTGAAACAGATGATTGTTTGTTTCGCTAGGTTTGGCGTGGACAGCAATGGGTGGTGAAATCATGTTTGTGGAGGCGACGCGAATGGGAGGAGAGGGAAAAATCACTTTGACTGGACAGTTGGGTAAGTTCACTGATTTATAGGTATATTGTTTAATGGCAAAAAATCGGCCACGAATAAGCACGGTTTCCTCGACAGGAAGCAAACTTGAGTCTTTTGTCGCTTTTCAATTGACAGAACTGGCCAGTTCAATTGTTATGTCCGTAATTAAGACTGGTCAGTCACTTCTGCGTCATGAGATAACTGGTCGTCTCAGTTAGTTTTAAAGCTCTTGTATGGACTACCCACGAAACGCATAGGATCTTTGTCTCATGTTTTCGACAAGAGTACAAACTTACTTCCAGTAACATTGGCATTGAAAACAAATAAGACAGTGTACTCTCGCGCAGCTTACAGGTCAGCTTCTCCTGTACGCAGGCAACAATTACTTATGTCCCTGCGGAATCTGATAACTAAAATTGCCCTCACTGTGAACAAACTTTCACCTGGAACAGTTCACAGCATCGTCTCAAACGTTTACATTTCCAACTTCAGGGGATGTCATGAAAGAATCCGCACAGTTGGCATTGAGCTGGCTTAGAAGTCGCTCAACTGAGGTAAGTTTTTTTCTTTTTACACCATGTGGCTTGGTTATTTGAGCAAGTGACGTACCATTGTGGTCTTAAGCTTATAAATGATGATGGCTGTGATTATTACGCACATCCTGTACTGCGTATAATAATCCCGTAATAAGGCGAATAAGCGCACAGGCATTCCGAGAACACGGTATTGTTTTTCAATCCATGGAACTAGTAAAGAGGAACGAAGGTCTTTTACTTTTGAACAATCACGGTGATCTATAAATTTTTTATTGCATAATTTTGGTGTACAAATTATCTCCTTTAAATTGGAGAAACCAAAACATTCAAGGAAAGCGTTGAAAAAAATTGTTCAATATCATTTTTTTCTGAGGAATCACCTTAATCAAACCTCTGGTTTGTGCTCTGACCTCATCCTTTATCCTCTAGAGTATTTTCAAAGGTTTTATGTAAAAGAACCAAAAACAACCCTGTTCTCACAACGCAACTGTTTCAAATTGGTGGTGATTCAGGTATTGTGGTTTGGAAGAATTCGATCCCATGCTCAACGAATAGTCATAACTATGTAAGCCTTTTGGAAAGTATCGAGGAATTGGGATCATTCAATTACGTTTTAACTTCTCATGCATATTGTATTTGTCAGACAGTAACTGAGTGTTTTATCCTTTTCTCCCGGTCATTGCAGTACTGTCTGACATCAGAGGACGGCGTGGATCTACTTGAGCGCACAGATGTACATATTCATTTCCCAGCAGGCGCCGTTGGCAAAGACGGCCCATCAGCTGGAGTTACCATTGTTACCGTTCTTGTATCGCTTTTCAGGTAAATAGGACAATATTTCACTAAATATCGAATTTACTCCGGATTACGTTAGTTCTGACCTTTTACCCTTTGTATTGGTCTCGTAAACTCGCAATGCACTCCCAACGAATCATCGGCTCAACTCAAACCAGTCGCGACTTATTGGGTGCTCGCGCTTTCTCTCTCGTTTGAATACTTTGAGTTCCAATTGGCACCTGATAATAGTAGCCTGTGTTCTTATTGGCCATCATAAGAACCTTGGTTTCCTTTTACGGCAATGGAGCGAAGAGCAAAAGGAATTGGGAAGAGAAAAAACCTTGAGTCCTTGCGAGGATGTGAACCTCAGATCTTCGGATTTTATGATCTCATGGTCTACCAAGGAACTATAGGGAGTCTATAGGTTCTCGCTTCTTTCAGAGATGGAGATAAAAGTAAAAGGAAAAAGTTGTGAGAGAGCAGAAGTGGAATCAGTTGAGTAGAGCTACGAAAACTTTCCCTCTCTATAAACTCTTAACTCTTTGTGGGTTCTCTCCATCTTAGTATTAAAAATCTTCTAGCTTATTAAATCACGCTCTGGAAAATAATGGCGTTTGGAAATAAATCTTACTTTATATGGCATCGATCCCTTTGATTTTGTATATAATTTAATGCTGCATTTGCTCTAATTTCGCATCCTACTCTTGCTTTTACAGCGGCCGATGTACGCGTTCAGACACAGCCATGACCGGAGAAATAACCTTGAGGGGGCTTGTTTTACCGGTATGGTTTGTTGTGTAGTGCACCTTTTTAGCGATAATATGAACCCCAAAGGGTTGACACGGTTTTGTCATTTGTACACAGATAATTTATTAGCGAAGAAACTTATTTGCTGATGTATTCTTGTAGGTCGGTGGAATCAAGGAAAAAGTGTTGGCTGCCCACAGGGCTGGACTAAAGAGGGTGATACTACCGAAAAGAAACGAAAAGGTGGGTC